AATGGAAAGCAACAACATCTGAGGTAAGTTTACAATTATGAATTTTATTATTTAGTTGCCTGTTTAACATATATTTGTTTCTTTAAAACCATCAAAACAACTGTTGTATGCTGTATTTACGTTTTCTTTTTAAGTAAACTATATTATAAAGTACACGTGTGAGTAACGAGTTTTACAATTTATTCAATAATTACACTTTCGGACTTGGCGTGGCCTAGCGGTTTGCATGTGGAGCTACGTATTGAAGGGTTCGGAGTTCTGTGATGCTCCTAAAGATTATTCGCACTTTCAGCTGTATGTGTGTTACAAAACTGACAGTCAATTCCATTATTCGGTTTCAAAAGCCGGATTAAGCCCTTTTGGTGCCGGGTGCCACCTCTCTGGTCAACAGTCCAAAATTACGAATGGCTATACTCGAATCCTAGGGATCTCTGACCAGGCCGTTTATCCCACGTGTGTAAATCGTATCGTTCGGGTTGAAAATTGTCGCACTTACACATTGAGATTCCCATAATGAACCAGAGAACTTTTACTTCCAGCAAAAAATGAAAAAAAAATGACTCTCTCATTGAAGGAAAAGAAAGAATCAACTGGCAGTAACAAATAAAATAAGATAAAAAATAGGTCTATTTTAATCAAAGTGTCACAACTATTCAAAACTAACACGTATGATCCTCCCAGTGAATCAGTACTATTGAAATTGTTTTTCTGTACAGTCCCCATATTTCTAATTCACATGACAGTTTTGTTTTTTATCATAACATATCAAGACATGATTTTTTTTTACTAACACTAATTTTTGAACATTTTCTGTTTTTCATATTTTCGGAGGATATTTAGGCATTTCACATATATAAAACTTTTCACAATAAGTTAGGGCTAAAACAGAGAAATACAATTATTATTTTTACAAGTGATTGTTTTTACACACGTTTAAATGATATACATATAATAAAAATAATAATGTTATTTAACCTATGCAAATAAAACTAGCTATTCTATAAAACCAATACTAGTCGCGCCACCTACACAAAATTCATTAGTAAAAACAAGTTGAATATTCATATCAATTCTTTTCATAATGTTAGTCTTGTATTTCTAAAAGCTATTTATAATTCTGAAGTTGTGTTGGCCACATGATTATAATTTTATATAAAAACACTTTTCTTGTGTTATATGTATAGTGTTTGAAGTTGTCTTTTACTCAACACAATGAATCTATACGTACATACGATTTGAAGAATATGTAGCATTGATTTATTCTTCGGAATTATTCAACAGACAAGGTGTTTGAGCTACTAAAAATAAATATGAAACCCAATCTATTTATCATTCGATTCACTTGTCATTCAGTCGGAGAATTCCAAGATATTCCCCATATGTTCACAAACTCGTAGGTGTAACTGGCGTGTGGTTTTACCAATGTACATATACGTTACAGTTTCTTTTTCACCAAAGTTAAAATTGAAAATATCATCTCTAACGTAGAGGCCTAATACATTTTTTGATTGGCTACACTCTTTGTTGTGTACTGCAGTTTCGCCTATCCAAAGCTCATCAGCACAGCAAACCAAAGAAATACGCTTAGGCCTCTTATAATGGTAATGTGTATATAATATTTATGGGGTTTTTTAGTCCTATAGAGTAACCTAACATAATTTAAGTGTGTCAATAATATTACAGCAAGTTGTGCTGATGAGCCTTGAATAAGCGAAATTGCAGTTCACAGAAGAGGGTACAGTACAGACAATCAAAGAATGTATTAGGCAGTTCACAGAAGAGGGTACAGTACAGCCAATCGCAGAATGTATTAGGCTTCTACGTCACAGATTATATTTTCGATTTTATCTTTGGTGAAAAAGAAAAACGAAAAAACCTGTAACGTATATATATATATATAATTATTAAACAGTTGGTCCACTCTATAATATCGAGCGATAAATTGGCGGAATGCCATACTATATAAATATAGACACCTAAATTAATTTAGGTTACTATATGATGAATCAAAAGAACTCAAACCCTCATAAAATCATTGGTTTGCTTACACCTGAAAGAACCAAGATTTTCTATGAAGTGTAAAAACTTATAATACTACATAAATATTAAACCCAATATATTTATAATTCGATTCATTTGTCACTGAATTATACCGGTTTCGAGGAATTCCACCCTTCTTCAGTAAGTCCGAGACAATTAAGATCACTATAACTATAGTACACACTTCACCAATATATTTTATACATAGTCCATTTATTCGAATTGTTTTTGTCTAGGGTTAATGATGATGGGTAGTAGGACTGGTAATAAACTATCAAATCCATCTGAATCAGCAATCGCTTACACAGTGAAAATAACAACCACCCTATTCTGATTAACGATTTTAAAGTAATTTCGACCGGTTCATCCAACACAGGACTTCTTATCAAAGAAAGCTTGTCCATTTTAAACGAACGCCCTACTCTAAACAATAACACAACTTCTTTACAGCTAAGCGTATTATAAATATCCCTAGGATATTGTCAACTATACAATGTTATCTCTATACATCCCCTTCTTTACCACACTAGTTTCGTAATATAATTGTTAAAATTTTGTTGGTTGTTGTTGTTTTAGATTGTTTGTTTTTTCTTTCGCCTTATGCTACTATAAATGTTCCAACTGAATGAATATGTGTATTTAATACTATCGATTAATTAATACAGTAGCTGAAGATGGAATGTGAATATTCCGAAACGTCCGAAGAATAAACGTACATTACCGAAAACAAAGTGTCGAATGTTTGCGATTACCGTTGAATATTCCGAAACGTCCGACGAATAAACGTACATTACCGAAAACAAAGTGTCGAATGTTTGCGATTACCGTTGTGAATATTCCGAAACGTCCGAAGAATAAACGTACATTACCGAAAACAAAGTGTCGAATGTTTGCGATTACCGTTGAATATTCCGAAACGTCCGACTAATAAACGTACACTACCGAAAACAAAGTGTCGAATGTTTGCGATTACCGTTGAATATTCCGAAACGTCCGACGAATAAACGTACATTACCGAAAACAAAGTGTCGAATGTTTGCGATTACCGTCGTTCTACTGATTATTACTAATGAGTAGTCTATGAAATATTTAAAACATTTTGTTATTTACACCGAATTTCAAGATTTTGTATTACTCTGTAACACCGAATTTCTTATATTATTTTATAATTGCACCTA